GCACGTCAAACTCACCGCAAATCTGAATCACCAATTTAAATGCCTCTCGCTGAATGTTAAAAGGCGTTCGGCCATTCAAGAGATCCACAAAACGAAGGTATCCATAATCTGTTTGCAGGAAACCCATCTCTGCAAACGGAACCCCCCCCCCCCAGCCTTCAAACCGGCACATAATATCCTAAAATTTTCCATGCCCTATCCCCACATAAATCTAAAGAGGTATCCAAACTGTTCCATTCGGAGTGGGTATTTCAACATGACACGTTTACAGAGATGGGCAGATTACTGAATGTGGTAGGTACGGTACAAGGAATACAAATCACCATCGCCTCTGTCTATGCCCCCAATGAGTCCCAATCCTCCTTTTTGACCAGGGCGCTATCTAAGATAGTAAAATTGCGACAAGGCCATACCATCATATGTGGGGATTTCAATGGACCCTGACCTAGACAAACGGCCCAAAGTAAAATGCCCACTCCATCAGGCCACCTCTCTTAGCAACAAATTCTCAACACTCTTACATACGCATGACCTATACGATACATGGCGCAGCGTATTCCCGTGCGGTAGAGACTACACTTATTTCTCCCAGGTCCACTGTACCTACTCGCGCATTGATATGTGCATAGTTGACAAACTGACCCTAGAGAACGTATCGCACGTGTCTATAGTCTGACCAAGCTCCGGTCACCACTACGTTTAGAACCCTATATCCTGCGAGAGGTAGGAGCGTATGGCGAAGGCCGTCCAAATGGTGAGGCCGTCCAAATATCCACACTTAGCAAAGCAATCCAGGCGTTTTAAGACTACCATTCCCAGGACACCTCTCACGTAACCACACAGTGGCTGGCCCTTAAGGCTGTACTGAGAGGTCTTCTCAGAGGCGGTGTTACGGTACCTTCAGTAATAAATGTGCAAACCGCCGTTTAGTGAATGCTCCCCGTTCGCAATAATGTGGTCTGGTAGCGTATGCAGTATAACCATGCGAACCACCAGCCAGGGAACACTCCAAACTCCCGAACGGTACCCGTACGGCTCCTTCCCTTCACGAGCTCCAAATACACTAACTGCCAATATTAGCCGAACGCCAATATCTTCCAAGCAGCAAATAATTCCAAATAGCAGTCTCTAGTCGCCGGTAATAAAATCCCCCCAATAACGAGACCAAGCTCCGCTTTGAGGGTAAAACACGAACTGAGTTTACTGTGGGCTACCTGCCCGTATTTATGCAGGTCTCCCACTTGGTGGACACTCCCCTAGGGGACCAAATGGGAGACTGGAATAACAGAAGGACATGGGGACATTTCAGACATACAACCCCACAATATTCCCAGCATGCATCACAGTTTCCTCCCCTCTGCTCAGGAGATAATTGAGAAGTAATTCAATTATCTCCCAGAGCAGAGGCAAATCGCCATTTTAAGTAACTTTATAACTGCCGAACATATTACATTCGTGTAACATCCCCAGATAGCCTGGATCTGAGTGCATATTATTGGCGAATAGCGCTCAGATCCCATACGCACAGTTCAATCGCCATGGAGTCAAAGTCTATTATGGTTCTTCGGTATGCGATTGACTCCATGGGAAGGCTATCTGGAGGTAAGTGCATTCATGCCTTTAAATCTCCCGAACGGCCGGTATTCGCACACTTCTGTCGATTGAGAAGGGAGGTCGACGGCTTCAGCGGTGTTCGGTTGAAAAAGTGTCAGTTTTTAGTTCCATGAAATAACCAAACACCGCTGGTCTTTCGCATGGTTAAAATGGCCACCGCCTCGTGGTCGACATACGAACGACGACCACCCTGTATTCGGTTTTAATTGAGAAGTGTCTGTGGTTAACCGCAACGTTCTAATTGGGATCAATAGGTTAACCAGCAGCACACTTCTCTTCTGGGTGGCCGTCCGTTCGGTAGTTCCGTTCGACAGAAAAGTACATTCCCTTCAACAAGGCATACGAATGGGGAAATTCATACAAACGACAAAAACAGACGAACACAGCAATTCTAGTTCATACGGATGGGTCTGTCACAGGCGGGATCAACCCGGAAGAGAAAATGGAATGAGGACAGGAGGCGACTCTTAAACGAACTTCACACGATAGAAGCTAAAAACAAACTAAACAAATCAATAAAATCAAAGCTGAACTACAGACATTATCCTTAAATATTATGAAGAGACAACTGAGAAAGCTTAAACTAACCCATTATGTGCAAGGCAATAAAGCAGGCAGACTGCTTGCAAGGACACGACGTCTGCTAATAACACTAAACTGTATAACCCTCAAGACATCGGTGAGGAGCTCGCTGCCTAATACAACACACTTTACAACTTAAGACTTGACCAAGACACACATCAGCCTACACTTGATGAAATCCATACCTTCCTAACGGACATAGACCTACCTCTTCTGATAGGACAACAGCGCCAATCCCTGCTAGCACCGTTCTTGGAAGAAGAGATACGAAATACAATCCACACACTCCCCAAACACAAAGCACCAGGCCCAGACAAGTTCTCCAATTTCTTTTACTTAACCTTTGCTTTGCATCACAACTCACACCACACTTTACCAAAAGTTTTAATCACTTTAA